GGGGGCTGTGGCCAGCCGGAGCCCCGTGTGGAATCAGCAGCTGGTGGCAGCGCCAGGGAGCACGGACCCAGCGCTTCCCTCCGGGGGACTGGGTGGTCACCCCGCTGGTGCAGCCTGAGGCCCTGCCCTGCCCAAAGCGCCAGGCTGGGACAGGGGTTCCAGGTGTTTTTACAGGAAGGCACCGTGGGAAGGGAAGGCTCCAGGGTTCCCCCTCCACAGGCCTTGGGGCAGGCACCCGGGGCTTCGCTCTGCCCTCGCATGCGACGTGAGGGGCGAGGTCTTCAGCACAACAGGCGCCGGTTGGGCAACAGGGGCCCCGCGGCCCAGCCTGGGAGGGTACAACAGGGCGCTGCATTAGCCTCCCCCAGCTCACACAGCAGCCAGGCAACGGCAGCCTTGGGGTTTTGGGCTGGAGCAGAGCTCTGGCTCAATCGATCGATGAGGCCGTGCTGTTACTGATTAATCCTGGCACCGGAGACAGGCCGGTCACACACGGGCGTGTCCAATAGGGAACACCCAGAACCAGGCTGTCTACAGCCCTCTTCACCGCCACCCCTACGTTTAAGCACAGGCCGAAGGGCTCATGCCAGTCTAACGTTCCTGAGCGGAGCCAGGCCAAGGGAAATCCGTCGCCCCATTAGCCAGGGAGCGGAGACGAATTACGACCAGGAATTACAAAGAGAAGGACACAGCGAGGTTGCTAGGGGACTGTTTCCATTCCAAAATTTAATTGATCAGATTAGGGTAGAAATTGTAACACTCTGATTTAAAAAAAAACCAACCCTGCGTCTTTGAGCGCAGAGAGACACCCGCGCTGCAGCCCCGGGGGCACGGCCGGGGACACCGAGGACGGGCAGTAGTGCAAACATTTCTTCAGGGGGCGACCCCATCAACACACACAACCAAAAAAAGACGAAGAATGAAATTAACTCCGCAACCATTCCATTGAGAAAATAAATAAATCCTATTTACAGAAATAGCTCCAGACAAACATTCACACACACGCACACGGTGTGCGCCGAGGAAATAGATACTATAGAACCTGTACACAGCGATATTTACACCCTTCAGAATCAGAAGTTGAATCTTTCACAGCTTTGGGCAGGCCGAGGGGAGTGCTAAGCCAGGGCTGTCTGCAGCCCTTTTGTTCACCTTAAGATCTTCAAACCGTACACGGGTGTCCCCCGCCCTCCCTTCCCCACACTTATTAAAACCCTCTGGTATGCAGAATTGCCCCCTGCCGACTGCACGGGGAAGGTACCGAATCGGATCAGAAAAGGCAGCAAGCAAGCCCGGCTCCTGGAACCGTTACTCCAACCGCGGGCCCGGCCGGCTGGCCCCAGACACGCACAGGGAATGTCACCAACTCGAGTCCACGTCTCCAAAGTGTACTACAAAAGCTCCCGGCGTTCCCGTTCGGCGGATTTTTGGTAGAATCCAGTTGGCCTAAGCCCCACAGCCTGCGTTAAGTGCCAGGGAGGGGGCTGGCGAAAGCATTCGGACAGAGGGGTGTGGGGAAGACTCCCCCGCCCCCAGAAGGCAGCCGGTGGCGAAGTTCTCAAAACTCAAAGTGCTAAGGCATGTGGCGACTGTAAACGGTCAGCTGTCATGGCGTCAGTTTCCTCCTGGAACCCCCACTCCCCCCGGCAGCCAGGTGCGCAGAGGAGCCGCGGTCCTGAGCGCCGGCGCAATGAAACCTTCCCCTCCAGCCTGGCGTTTGGCCCCGCGCTCCCCCAGGCCCAGCCGCGCGGGGGGAACCGTGTGTGCAAAACCCACCCAAGACACCGTTCAAAAACCAGCCCCGGAAGAGAACCCAGCCAAGTGCAAGGAGGGCAGGAGAGGGGGCCACGGCCCCAGCCAGGCCAGCACCTCGCAGCCGCCTGGTTCCTTTGCCCGCCGACCGGGAGTGAAGGACTGATCCTGCCTGGGCAAGGCAGGCGCGCAGGCTTGTGCTTCGGGGGTTCCAGGTCTAAGCAAACCTCCATCCCCCGCAAGGGCCGACGCCGACAGCACGCTTTGCTTTGGCTTTCGCAGGACCCGGTCCGGATACACCCCCGCCCCGCG